AGGTCCACACCGAGACAGGTAACCTCCTTCCGAGTTCGTCTATAAGATGTTGATGCCGTATAGCAGACCAAGAAAGAGGCGGGCCCTACTAATCAAACATGATGCCTCCCAGAAAGCTTGGGCTTCAGAAATCAAATTGTTGCTTAGCCTTTGTACACTTCAGTCGAACACCATCCTCTCGCAGATGTACGAATTAGCCGTCTGGCATGCGAGTCCTATGTAACGGGTTGGGAGATGAACGGGAACGTCAAATGAGTCCGGGAAGATCAGTTTTGGCTATACATAAAGAAGTGGATGTTCATTTGTAGACATTCAAATGTTCGAAACGAGAAACTCGCGATGTGTTCAAGGCGAGCGGGGACCCGACCGATCAAATTAATGAGGAGTCTGCCTCACTAATCTCTGCTCCGCATCTGACTCAGAGTCAAAGAGAGGTCGAAGATCAAGAATTAGTGTTATACAAAGTCGATGTGGTTCCAATCTTCAGGAATTCCGAAATTAAGAACTGGACTCAGGTGGGGCTGTCTTGGTGTTTGTTTTTCGTGTATAAAAGGTTTACATCGAGATGTTTTGACCAAGAAAAGTGTAGAGAGAATTGTACCGCGTACACATGCCTTTTGATACTGATATCATGTTGAAACTTCCTGAAACGGCTGTCCAGGACCATCCTCCGAGAGCGAGACATACATCGAGAAAACTGCGCAATGTGACTGAGGGAGCGGAATATCCGAAATTTCGTCTATAATAGGAGCGAATACTCGTAATACTCCTAATCTTGTTCTTCTAGTCGCTTTATATAGAGAATCGTGACGGGCGGTCGTTCAGTCGTTTAACTTGATTCGAGTTCAACGTCCGGAAGTTGATTGATCATGGTGATAAGATAAGATGCGGAGATAATGTGCGCATGTCCATTGTCACATGAGAAAACGCGCTGAAGTTCTCATGATTGATGTTCCTGGGCCTTGCCTCCTGCTTCTATGCTTGGTCTGGATCCTGCTGAGCTCCCAGCGTTAGCATCTCAATTTTTGAGTGACAATCCATCCATTCGAAGGCCCAGATTCATGTCGGAACGGAAGAACTATCGCAACGTTAATTTTCGCCCCACAACACGAATTCTTAAAAGGTCCGCATACCAAAGTTCAAGATGTCGTTGTTTTCCATCCTGTTCTTCTGATTCCCTTATTCTCGGTCTCGGACGCAGGTAAGCCTTCATGTACTCATATCGCCGTCAATTCCGTGTTTCCTGTCAGATGATGACACGGAACATAATAACATATGTTATACATAGATATCACGATGGAAGGCGGAGCGATGGGTTCTCAGGGAGCGCTGAGAGTCATGATGAACTTCTTTGACGGCACGATTCATATAAGAAACCCCCGTCCTATCATTTCGCGTGCTTTTCGAACGAGATCCCCCTCCGAAAGCGTTTCTTTCTTTTAAACTAACTTATGCATGGCTAGGCCGTGATAGGCCATATCCGTCGGTCACAATGGGATCCAAATTCTCTGAACCTCTACGGGATAGACGATCTCGTCAAACCCAACCAGTTCTCAACGACTTCCACCTCATGTCCCCCGTCTCAATGGGCCGTCATTGTGATATGGTGAGCGTTTTTTCCCCACAGACCTTCGTGAATTCTACTGCATCGGAACCCCGCTTAGTCTTTTTCTACGCAGATTAGAAAAGTCGAGCACAAACTAACGGGCGACCTTTTTGCGCTCAAGTACATGAACAAAGGACACTACGCACGGAAAAGAGCAATTGAGAGTCTTGTCAGGGAGAGGGTGTTATTGAGCGAGGTACGCCTGCTTTTGTGAAACTATACTGTCCATTGTCCTATCAGTAGCTGATATCTTGTGCCTGTGCCCTGCTCCTGAATGCACAGATCAATCACCCGTTCATTGTCAACCTCCGCTCGGCATTCCAAGACAAAGACTATTGCTACTTTGTACTGGATTTGGTGGAAGGAGGGGACCTGTCTTGTGAGTTCGCAAACTTCCGCTCAAGTGCCTCCGTATTGATGGCAGTTTCCGATGGCAGCTATCTTACGGTCGCATTCGTCCATCCCAGAACATGTCAAAAAGATATGGATCTCAGAAGTCGCCTTAGCTTTGTCGTACCTTCACGTCGAGCTGAAAATCGTGCATCGGTCAGTCGGCACTTTGACTCCAACCAAACCTTATCACAA